GGGAAAGTGGAATGCTTGCATACATAGAGTTACACTTGGGCCTTGGCCCCTGAAAAAGTTAAAAAAAAAATAAAAATAAAAATAACAATATACTAAACAAGGTTTTAAGACCGAGGTGAGGGAGCTTTTCAGGTGCTACAGCTACACAATACGATCCTGTAGATCGACGGCTATTACTCTACGATCAGGAAAAAAGACATCACGTAGCAATCTTGACGGAAAGACACATATGATTAACACTTCCAACACCGTACGATTAAATTATTCTAAACAAGATCAAGAATCATCCGATCAGAACAAAGTACAGGACCGCAATCGAAGTCTTCTTTTCTTTTCCTTTTACTTTTTCCGTCATCGTTAAAACGTTGGAACGACGCCGTATTGGGAGTCTGCGGCGGCGGCAAAGAAAGCTGCGCCGCCGTAGATTTGATCGGCGTCGACGTCGGCATCGAGCTCGATTTCGGTTCTCTTTGCGAACCGGCCTTTGATCCTCGGCCGAGTCTCGGCGTAAGCCTTCCTCGAGGCGTAGCGGATCGTCTTCTCGAACTTTCGGTTCTTCCTCTTCTCCCTGTACCTCAAAACCCTAGCTTCTCTGGCCATTCCGCAGAGTTGAGTCGCCTGCGGCGCTGTCGACATTGAATTCGACGACGCCGGCACGCTCGGAATCGGATCGCCGGTACTTTGGCTCAAGTTTCGCCCGAAAGAGTAAGAGATTTCCGATAAGGAGTTCCCGTCCGGAACAACTCCGACATCCAGCGATGATGACGAGACCTGTAATTGAAGATTAAGAAACGATCTGTTCAATTCAAATTTTCTCGGAAATTAATGATCAGTTCAGATTGGGGATGGATTAGATAATTACGCTGTGGCTGAAGCCATTTGTGAAGGATGAGAGCTTCGATCTGCAGAAATCGATGTCGAAGCAATTCTCCGATTGGTTGATCATCGGAGAAGGAGAAACCGGTTTGATTTTCACCGGAACAACACTATCGGTGCCGGAGCTAGTGTGAATCGGATTACCGGAGTAATCCAAGACGTCGAGGAAGGAATCCATTTCTGAGAAGAAGATTTCACCGGCGGATTTCACATCTGGTCCGTCAATGAGCTTGTTGTTAGAGAGGATCCAGGAGGAGGTTTCGAGGTTCCGATTCGCGCCGCCGCCGCTACCGTCATCATTGTGGTTGTTGTCACACGCGCCCGGTCCGGAAAAGAAGTTGAGGGCTGCGGAGGAGCGGACGATGGAGTCTGCAGAGTCGAAGAAAGGCTCGATGGGGACGCGGTCGTGGCGCTGAGCGAGGGGATTAGCGGAGTGGATGTCAGCGTCGCAAGAGACGCAAAGGGCGGCGGCGTCGGCCTTACAGGTGACAGCGGCTGGGGCTTGCTCGCAGACCTCGCACATCCACACGCGCTCGTGGCGCGACGCCAGCCTGTTGGCGCAGTGGATCTTGGCGTCACAACTCAAGCAAAGGAACGCCCTGTCCGCTCGGCAGAACACCGCCGCCACCGCCGCCTTACACGAATCGCACGCCTTCGCCGCCGCGCCGCTCCACCCCATTGCTCCACTATGCAAACAACGTCGTTTGACTCAATAAGTTTCTTTTATTGTCTGGTTTAGTCGGAGGATTTTTTGATTTTGAGGAGCTATGAGAAAAGGAGCAATGTTGGCATTGTATAGTGTTGGAGAATTCTCGTGTATTTTGTGTCTATCTATGTATCTATCTATTGGGAGTCAGAGGGGAAGAAAATCTTGGCGCTGACGAGTGGGAGATCTACACGTGGAACGCTGGTAGCCACGAAAAAGGTTTTCTCCTATCACAAAATTCAGCGTTTTTTGCACTCTGAAATTGTGCTAATTAAGCAATTAAAAAAATGATTTTTGGAGTCGTAGCTGTGAGACGCCTGTGCCGACGCGGGTCCCACCTTGCGAGATGGGTGACAGCGACTTGGGGTGACATCTTGGGATGGGGCGACCAGCAGCTCCGATTTGAGAAAATAAAAAAATTTTCTTCTACTTAAAAAAGTTGAATCTATAATTTTCATCATAAATAATTTATTTTTTATAATTTCTGGAGAAAAATTCATTATTGCTGCTATGTAAGCACATCTAGTGAACTTAAGCTAAAATGAGTTTATGAAACAATTAAGAGTTTGTTCTTTTGCTTTTTTTGAGTCAGGTGATTTGAGTATAGATTTTGAGTTAAATTTGAATTATAAATTGAGTTGAAGTTATAACTTGAATTTGTGTTTGGTTGTGTACATTTGAGTTATGGTTTGAAATAAGAATCTTTTTGAATTTGTGTTTAAGTGAGTCAAACTTTAAATTTATATTTAGATAGTATTTTAATAAAAACTCAATCCTGATGGAAAATTTTAATATGGTATATGGGTAGAATTTTATTTGTCTTTTCGTTGTCAACGCATAGAAAAAAATCATCTCAATCAGAATTAAAACGAAAAAGTTATAGTATTTTTAAGAATAGAAAAAATAATGTTTATTAATTTGAGTTCGAGTTTCTAAACTCGAGTTGAAGGGAAAACTTGAACTCGAGTTTTAGTCCCAAACTCGAGTTCAAACTTAAAAGAACATGAACTTGAATAAAGTTGTAACTCTGTTATTTTTGAGTTTTTGACTCAAAAAGGGGGGCTACCGAACAGCCCCTAATTCATGTTTATATTCTTAAAATGGTCTGTCAAAATAAATGAGTTTAGATTTAGGTCTCGTTTATTTTACTGATTTAAGTTTTCAATTCTAATTTTACTACAGTTAAAAACACTCACAAAAAGTCATATCTAAATTCGAATTAAAAACTCGAATCGGCGAACTGAATGAGACCTTATCTTTATTCGAGGTCGAATATTTTTATATTTAGTGATGATTTGTAATATTAATATATGTATTAACTTAATTATTAAATAAAATTTTCCAATTAACAAAAATCTTCAACATGCACGAAAACCAGTAATCTAAAACAAAGTAGTCAAATTCAAGAAGCTAATATTAATTGTGGTAGGTGCCCCAAATGGCCTTTTACGATTTAATTCGACAAATATTCTTTTCTTTTATGTTCATTAGTTTTCTATTATGTACACATAGAAGAGTTTCTCTCCAAATTTCAGTGCTTTATTTTATTTTCCATTTGTCACCAAAGGTCCAAAACTAATAGGAAAACTATATATTATCTTCAACTATTTTATGATTTTAATATAGAAAAGACTGGAATATAAGCTTTTAGAGTAAATAAATAATAATTTTGTTCACTTCATTAATTTGAGTTTATAATATGAGTTGAGATATGATTTTATGTGAGAGTTTTTTACTGTAATAGAAAAGTTAGATGTGACTATTTCTGAGAGATTTTTACTATAATAAAACTCGAATTCTAAACTCAAATCGACAAAATGAACGAGTCAAATATAATTACCTTTTGAAGTATCCCATCTGCTATTGAGATTGACACAGGACGTCATTTCGTTTATTTTTCTTTTCTTTTTTTAATAACGGTAAAAAAAATGAGCTGGATTATTTAAAGAAGCATATCAAATGTAAATATTAAATGCTGAGATTTTTTTTTTTGAGTGATTTACTGATGAAACACGTTCGTATATATATATATATGTGTGTATATATATAATTTTTTTCTTGGGGAAAAAACATAAATTGCTGAGTATGACTGTATGAGCATTGAATCCCAAAAAGGCCAGAGAACTACTTTTTTATATTCTCATTTTATTATCCTTCATCTATTAATCTATAAATTATTTTTTAACAACAATAGTTTCTCTTGAACCCAAACAAATATTACAACGGTAAATATTGCTCGATGTTTTTTAAATACACAGTTTGAACGTTTTGTTAATAAATTTTATGTGTGTATATACATATATATATATATATATATTTAAATGAAATCTAGTACAAGGAAGACATGTGAGAGTTGTAAACGGGGATAAAATAGTTTTGTTTAAAGAATAAAAGTATATTTGAGGAAGAAAAAGTCTAACAACAAAACGGAAATAAGATTTTAAATAAAATGTAAAATGCATCACCAGCTCGATCAAACAGACTTGGTTTTTTCTTTTTCTTTTTTCGTTTTTCTTTTTTAATTTTATTGGTGTACCACTTTTGAAATTCATTCCCATGCTAGATTTTGTGTGGATCATATAAATATTTATTTTATTAACGAGCGACCATAACTTTGTATTTTAAAAACGTCGAGATAATTATATTTTCAAAAATGAATGTCGAGATTTAACTTACACATCCACCAAACTTCAATTGAGCCTCTTTCACATATCTTCGCGACGTCGCACCCAAAAGTTTTCACAAATGTATTTTAGATACTAAAGTGCTACTAAATATTATTTCGTCAGTTAATATACGTTATACTATTTAAGTTAGGGAACTCTTATAACAAAAACGATAAAGTAATGTTATTTTAATTATTTGATTAATTTTCTAACGACTTGATATGTAAATGTTCATATTAAAAATTTAGAGTTGTGCAGCACAAATTTATTTTTTTGTGACCTTTCACATATTAAATTTTTTAAAAATTAATTCAACGATTAAGAAAGAGTACATATCGATAGAGAAAAATTATAGTTCCAACCATGCATACATTTTGAAGTTGGATATATTGGATACACGTGAATGACTTAGAGCTTGTTCGGTTGCATTTTTGAATTATGGTGATTTAAGTATAAATCTTGAGTTGAATTTGAATTGAAGTTATAACTTGAGTTTGTGTTTTGATGTGCACATTTGAGTTATGATTTGAATTAAGAATCTATTTGAGTTTGTGTTTGAGTGAGTCAAAACTTGAATTTGTATTTAAATAGTATTTTAATAAAAACTCAACGGTGATGTAAAATTTTAATAAGATATATGGGTAAGATTTTATTTATCTCTTCATTGTGAACGCATAGAAAAAAAATCATCTCAATCGAAATTAAAATAAAAAAATTATGACGTTTTTAAAAATAAAAAAAATATTGTTCATTAATTTAAATTTGAGTTTAAGAACTTGAGTTAAAAAAAAAATTTAAACTCAAATTTTAGCCTCAAACTCAAATTAAAACTCTAGTTAAAACTTAAATTTAAACTCTAATTAAAACTTAAATTTAAACTCAAATTTTATAAACGAGCATAAACTTAAATAAAATTTTAACTTAAGTATTTTTTAGTTTTACTCCAAAACAATGTGCTCTTATTGGCTCGAAATTCTACAAAGTAGACGGTGCCACGTCAGCAAAGGATCATCCCACAACCAATAAGGGATATACACGAAGGGAAAGGCAGCAACTGAAAACCAGGTTAGTTATTTGGTGTAATACGTCATCTAGTGCGTGAGCTGGTTGAGAAATATATTATTTTATCATTGGACAAGATTGCCCTTGGGACTATAAAATAATATATTTTGGCTCGAAAAGCAACAAAGTGGCTCATAGCAGCGCCAGGTGTGACAGACAAACTGGTCGGCCAACCGCGTTACGATTATTGATTTGCTTCTTGAGTTTTCAATTCAGTCTTTTAGGGATATTTTCGGAAAATCCGCATAAGATTTTTTGCAGTCTTTTTATTTTTTTATTTCTATATATATATTTTTTTTCACATAGGCCTTAGAGATTAACACGAGTAGGGATGATGAACATGGGGTAAGCTTCCTAGGTTGTTGAGATTTTTCAACTCATTTAATTAAGTTTTGGTGGGCCTTATAGATTATAATTTTAACCCATCTAAACAACCTAAAATTTAAAGAGGTAATTTTGATAAAAATTAATTAAAAGTGTATGAATCAAAATTTATATTTTTTTACTCTTGATTTATAATTTTTTTAGTCAAATAATTACACTAATAAAAATGATATTTATCAAGAATAATAAATAAAAGTCAAGACTCATACTCTTAATAGTAAATTTTGTAATTTTCTCAATTTAAAATCAACACACCCAACTAAAGTTTAGGTGAGTTGGGTGAGTTAATCGAGTTGAACATAATAAATAAATAAATAAATAAAGCTAATTATTCAACTCAAAATAAGAAATATATGAAAAGAGCTAATTTTTATCATAATATTAGTTTTATAAAGCTCCAAAATTGCCAAATAATTTATAAACCAATATGAATATAAAATATATGTAAAACAAGTTCAAATATATAAGTTGTAAACCAACGAATAAACAAAAATAAAAACTCATACAATATAAAACACAATAGGTTGTCAAGTAATTAATATAAAATATAAAACAAATACTATATATAACATGAAGTAAGAAAATATTTATTTACATATATGAATAAATTGAGTGGCTTCAGGTTAAGTTGGGTTAAGAAAAAATCAGTTAAAACCCACCCAATTAATAGTCGAATTGAGTGAGTTGGGTTGATCTTTTAATCAAGTTGCTCGAATTCGAGTTATAATGAGCTGAGTTGGTGGGTTAATTATGTTCGTCGGGTTGTCAGGATTTTAGCACCTATAAGCTATAAGGCATGAACTTGATGTGATTTTGTACATTGTACCCTAAATAGATATATTTTATAATTGAATCCCTACATAGACTGAATTAATCAAGCAGTTACATAACTCTTCTAATCATGGATGAAAATGCCCACATATTTATGATTTCTCAAGAGATTATTTAGATTTTAAAGTTTCGACATGGCTAACTACAGGTAAAGAAACTTTTAGATATA